TTATGTATAATATATTACATTTCTGACTGTATATCCCTGTAATTATTACACACTGTAGCTTTAAAGTGAATGCTGTTAATTTGTTTTTCGTGTGTTCATGTCACTTACAAATATGCATCTATTTCAATGCAGATTTAAGTCAAAACAATAATTTCACCCACAAAGGGGGGCTTTAAAAAAAAAATTTTTAAAAATCACCAAGCCAGGAGTGGTGAAGGCAATCGGGTCGGCTGGCACGCACATGAGGTGTTCCTTTATTTTTTTTTCAGGGAGTTGGCAACCCTATGTGTTGCTCTTGCTGAAGAAGTCCATCCACCATGTTGTAGGGCCTCACTGTGTTTTGCATGTAGGAAAATAGTGTCGTTTCTGCGTCATTTGGCGAGAGCATATTCTGAATGAAGGTTGATTTACCTCCTTGGCGTATGAGCAGGTTTTGCAAAGGTCTGGTCGTTAACCACACATTTGATTCGGGCGTGTTGGAGCACGGACGCATATGGATGATTTATTTCTCTTTGAGATTTGCACTTTGACATTGTTCTGCTTTAAACTGCAATATTTGGATTTATTTGATGCTGTTTTGTCAATTAATTTCTCAAACCCACCTCTGAGGATGGTGACTCTTCAATTAATAAATGATTTAGAAAAGAGCCTCATAAAAAAAAAAAAGTATGAGTAAATGAGACGAACTGAGTCTGGACTGCTCACATCAACACCTACAGCTGTCTCAAGTGGTTGGTGACAGCGCCTGCGAGAGGAGCTGCGCGCTGCAGACGCACCGTCACATCTGCTGCGAGGACAGCCTAAGATGAGAGGCGTGTGCGGTGGCCAGGGTGCTTCGCCTGGAATGTCACTGAAAGAGTTCCTCCTCCACGTGTTTTTGTTGCTACTGCTGCCAGCGACCATGACTGTTGGGAAACTGGTTGTGATTTTCCAGCCTTGTGGGAGGATCTTTGCATGATGGGGCTTCTTCTACCAACCTGATCTCAGCTGACCCACTTTGAGGGCAATACATGACTCTAATATGAGTGCTGCTGGAGCTACAGTAAGAAGGCTTGTTTGTTCTTATATCTCCGAGCACTCCCTCTGAAACTGGCAGCTTCTAGAAAGTCTGAAAGATTAGAGGCAACACAATGCGCCTCTTATAATCAACAAACAGTTATTGAAGTCGACTCTCATCCAAAGTATTTAGAAAACAAAGGGATGAACCGACGCAGCAATCTGGACGGACGGAGGACTGATTCTCATTCGCATCACGGCACAAGTGCTTTTTGATCTTTACAAACACTCTCTCTCACACACACTGAGTCATAAAGCTCTGAAGGAATAACAGCTATTCCAGGCACAATGAGAAGTATTTGAGAAATGTCTGCGTTGGGATGGAAGTGGGTGGTAACCATTCAGGAAGGAATGCAAAACCGGGTCTATTGCATTAATTAGTTTTGACTGGTGGTTTTCAGCTGGTGAGTCGGATCTCTGAGCAGCTACCTTTAGACTTAACCAGGGTTACCCTCTATGGATGGAGGCCAGTTTTTGGAAAACCAGAGGAACTGTCTTATTTGATTCATTTAAATAGGTGGAAACTATCAGAATAAAGAACTAGAGTCATGCTTAAAAAGCGAATACTGGGGTTTCAAGTGAAAAAAATGTAATACATAAACATGAATACAGAATTTAGTACATCCATACAATCTACTAATATTTTTTTAAATCGCCTGGTATAGCTCCCACTGGATTCCTGGCAGAATCAGAAGCGATGTCTTTATTTTTAAACATGGCCGCCGTATCTCAATCAAGCTTAAGTTTTGGGGAAATCTATGAGTTGATTTGGAGGCTAAGTTTATTCATGTCAAAACCAGTTCTATCCAGATTTAGGGATTATTTCTTTCTTTATACACTGGAAAAAATCTAAATCTAGATAAGTAATTTTTTCTTAAAGTAAGTATTTGTTCTTGAATTCAGGAGGTAAAAGAGACATTATGCCAATGGAACAAGACAATTTACCTTTAAAATAAGAAAACACAATTGCATTGTCTTATTTCAAGTGCATCTTATCTAAATATCTTATTTTAAGAGTAAAAACACTCATTCCATTGGCAGATCATCTTATTCAAATATTCAAATTAAGGGTAAATACACTTAATTTAAGAATGTTTGTACTTATTTCTAGATCGTTTTTCCAGTGTATGTGTCTGGTTTGCTATTTACCGTAATTTCATCCAAAGGGGTTAAAGGCAACTTTAAAAAAAAAATAAATCTGGCCTCTATTTCTTGTTTTAAGAATTTTTTTTTAGTTTATTTTGAAATGAAACCATCAAGTTCTCTTATTTTTTCCTCTTTAGGTTACGTCTCTGCTCCAGTGAGGGGAGGTATTTTCTCTCAGCATAAATAGGAGCAGCCTTGCTGCTTCTTCTCATCTTAAAGCTCAATCTCACAATCAGAAAATCTTGCCGATGTCTTGCAACTCGATATAAATAAATCAACTTTTGTCAACAGAAGCTTAAGTGTCGACTGAAAACATCTTGATGAGAGACGCAAAATTAGAAAAGTAATTCAGGCGCACATTTAGGTAATCCAAACCTAAGTAATGTTAACATAATTCAGTAATTATGGTAAAATTGATTAATACACTGGAAAAAATTGAAATCTAGATAAGTCATCTTTTCTTAAAATGATTGCATTTGTTCTTGGATTGAGGAGATAAAAGAGACAGTTTGCCAATTGAACAAGACAATTGACACTTAAAATAAGAAAACACAATTGCATGGTCTTATTTCAAGAGCATATCATCTAATTATCTTATTTTAAGAGTAAATATACTGATTCCATTGGCAAACTATCATTTATTGACTAAAATTAAGGGTAAATACACTTTATTTAAGAAATTTTTACTTATTTCTAGTGTATATAAAAACTACTCAGCTACACTGCAAAAAAATTAACTCTAAATAAGTAATTTCTTTCTTAAAATAAGTGTATTTTTTCTTGAATTAAGTATTTAAGTGAGACACTTTGCTAATGGAACAAAACAATTTACACTTAAAATAAGAAAAAACAATTGCATTTTCTTATTTCAAGTGCATAATATCTGAATACCTTATTTTAAGAGTAAAAATACTCATTCTATTGGCAACTCATCTTATTTACCGGCTCAAATTAAGGGTAAAAACCCTTAATTTAGGACATTGTTACTCATTTTGAGATCGTTTTTGCAGTGTACTTTTTGCAGCAAATAACAAAATTCTTAAATACTGATCTATAAATTCTCCCAAGACAATGCTTCAGTTTGCAGTTTAACTTTAGTAATTTAGACTCCAACATGGGATGCAATGAAGCATAATGTGAGCGGCTCTGATCTAACCTGATCACTAAGCTGTAGAAACTCAAACAGTGAGCCGTTCTACCAACAGGGTGGAGGAGCTCTGAGGAGCAGCTCTCTGCAGCACCTTGCATTCTGCATTATGACAACACAGCAAAGCATGCACAGAATGCACACCTTATGGTAATATGCCACCCTGCCTGGCTTTCCTCATATCTCCCTTTGTGTTTGTTGTGCTTTGACAAACACGACGGACGCCCTGCGGGACGTTACGACACAGTTCCCGTGAAGCTGATAGCACGGCCCCGAAGATCACTCCGTCCCAACAATGCTGGGCTGAAAATAACACAGTTTGCGGACAGGAAAAACACGTGCTCTGCTCATTACACACCCCTCCCACTTAAGCCTTTCCATTGTTAAGATGGGAGGATCAGTTTGCGCACACGCAAAGAAGCTGGTCTGACAAGGCCTCATCCTGGTTTTACAATGGACAACAGAACTGGACAAACAAGGAACCAGGAGCGCTGTCATACTCTGAGCCGCCTGATTCTTCTTTAGATCTCATCTTATGGTTTAAAAATTTCTGTCTTTTAAAAGGGCTTTAAAATGTTAAATGATAAAATCCTATGTTATGTAGATTTGAATATTTATATACGCAGTAAAGAACCTGGTAGGTTGTAAAGGTTGTAGGTAGAAAACGGCTATTCCTTTTTTTTTGGTAAATTGTTGGTTTTGTTTTGATATTGTTGTTTTGTTGTTTAATGTTGAATTATTTGCTAAAAAAATAAAGTGAAAGTAAAGTGAAGTGAAGTCTTCTTGAGTCAAATTTTATTTTTTATAACGATAAACACACAATTTCCTGACCATAATCAGATTGTATATATAGTGCATCTGGAAAGTATTGACAGTGATGCACTTTTTCCACATTTAGTTCTGTTAGAGTCTTATTCCAATCGGTACTTAATTCATTTCTTTCTTCAAAGTTCTTTACAAAATGCCCCATGATGTATAACTTCTTTCATAATGGGGTTTTATGAATATTGAAGAAAGATTCATTTATTAGTATTTAGAATAAGGATGTAACTGGACTGAACGAGCAAAAAGTGAATATTTGGACACTATATGAGAAAAACATGGTTTAAAAATAGGGCAATAGAAGCACACATCCCAACACTGTTACTGCAAAGCACGCAAACACAAATCACAACATTTTTGCAGGTAAGGTTCATTGTTGTAGGTGATTAAAATTTCAAACACAAGAAGATGATCCACAGAGGACCGAATAGCCAATTGGCAAATATGGAAAAAAGCAAAATACAGCAAGCAAAAAAAAAAAAAAAAAGCAAATAAAAACAGCACAAACATCATTTTAATGTGATAGTAATGGACGAGTAGATATTCCTAACCTGCAAAATGATTCCTCCATATAATATCAGCGATAGTCATTGGTGGGCCACCAGCTGGGTGTGGTTTACCTTTCTCATGGTCAGTCTTTATCATTTCCGTTATGGGAAGATCAAAAGAGTTCAAGTTAAAAGGATCAAAGGGCCGATTCCGGTCCTGGAAAACAGAAAAAAAAAACATTCAGAAATTAATGTTGTTCACAAAAACATGAATATATACTTAAGTGACTAAAGTTGAGGCCTGTATCATGAAGCAGGATTACTGGGTTAGCGAAACTCCAGGTTTAACCCAAAATTTCCGGTACCACAAAGCTGGATTCATTCTTAGTGAGGCTAGTCACCGTGGTAACGTACTCTGAAGAGCAAACCTGCTCCGAAACAAGCTAGCTTTCAGGATTGACCAGAATCCTGGAAAACACTCCATCCGGCAGCCAATCAGCTGTTCAGAAAACAATGACGTGCCCTTTAACTATAGACCCGATTTATTCTGAGAGAAAAACAATTTAAACAAAACAAAATCACAGTAAGAGAACCTGAACACCGAATAACAGCTAAAACCAACTATGTTCTGGACAAACTGAGTAGTTTTTTTATTTACTTTTCATAGCAATCTTTTAATGTTCCGCATTTGTTTCCCCCTGTATAATGTCCTCATTCACTAGTTTCATTTGAAACTAATATATGAAGCTAAATAAAAAATATATATAATGAAAAAAATCAGAGCATAAACATAAGAAGATCCTTTGGATCACTATGACAATTACTTATGCCCCATCCTGGTAGGATTTTATGCCATCGCTAGTCAGTCAGTCAAAAATCAGGCTGTTAGATCTCTCTCTCTCTCTCTCTCTCTCTCTC